TCTGATTCCAGAAATATTGCTAAAGGGAACTACGAGGACCACAGGAGTCGGGGCAGTCCCGAGTCCACGCCTGCACTCCCGGGCTTGGGGCCCTGAGGTCGGCTCCGGCCCAGGAAGGTGCAAAGCACAGTGCGGATTGGTCCCGATGACACTGGTGTCTGGGTCTTGACCCAGATGTAGGATTTCAGTGCGTCTAACCGGGGGGTCCAAGTGAGTCATGCTCTTCCCCCTTCCTTGGGGTAACTACGGAAGCTTCCCCGTAGCCCCGTCAGCTACGGGGTGAGCTGGCCACCGTGCCAGGAGGAGAGGAAGGCCCCCATTCATGTCCTGCGCCCTTTGGGCCTTGCTGGACGCCTCCACGTGTGATCCCTTCCCCCGCAGCTGCGTCCCTCACCGTCGGAAGCTCCTGCCCGCAGCTGGCTTACCGCCTGGCCCCAGCCTGGCTGTCACCTCCTGCGTGACCATGATCTCCTGTCCCCCAGCCGTGCCCCTCCTTGCGGGCCTGGCACCCGTCCTGTAGGTCACGGCTGGGTCGCAGGCCCCCTCCCCGTGGTGACCAGAGCCGGGTGCCAGGCAGGGGATGGCGACAGACGCCACCCGCGAGGCACTGCAGTGACAGGGCAGGTCCTGGGCGAGCCCGACTCAGCTTCCACGTGCAGGGAGGTGACAGGTTGTCACAGGGAGGACGGGGCTTGGGGGACGCAGGGCGAGGACACCAGCGGGACGCCTGGGCCAGGGAGGAGCCCCTGCCCCTTGGGGCTGATGGCCTGGGCCTGAGCCTTGGGTGCGGCGGGGTGAGCGGGCTCCCCTCAGCCTTGGGTTTCCTCAGGAGGGCACCCAGAGGGGACCCCGCTGGGGTTCTGGTCAAGACTGAGGCCTAGTGGACAAAGGGCTCGGAGGAGCCGGGCCAGGGTTCGGTCACAGGGGACCCCTGCCAGTGATACTTTCCTGTCCCCCTACTGTCTTGGGGAGGGGCACCCCGTCCATCCAGGGCCCCAGCCTGGGGCTGCCGGGCAGGAGGCTGGTTTCTCTGCACGGCAGCCCCCGGTCGGCCTGGTGAGTCTACCCCCTCTTCCCGCCCTCCCTCCCTACTACCTGGATCGCAGGCAGGGCTGGAAGCGACCCGGCGGGAGGCCCAGAGGGCGGCAGGCTGGCACCCCAGGGCCCAGGCCGCGCCAAGCTGGCGCCGCTCCCACCTTCTGGAGGCACGGGAAAGCTGCGACTTGCCCTCACCTGCCGGAGGCCCCTGCGCAAGGGGTGCCCGGCCGCCAGCCCCACAGCCAACCTGCCAGGACTCGGAAAGGAACAAGGCCTCCTACCTGGGGTTCTTGTGTCTGTGGTTTTTTTTTTTTTTAATCTTTTTTTTTTATTATTTATTTATGATAGTCACACACACACAGAGAGAGAGGCAGAGACACAGGCAGAGGGAGAAGCAGGCTCCATGCACCAGGAGCCCGACGTGGGATTCGATCCCGGGTCTCCAGGATCGCGCCCTGGGCCAAAGGCAGGCGCCAAACCGCTGCGCCACCCAGGGATCCCTTGTCTGTGGGTTTTTTAAAAGATTTTTATTTATTTAATTGAAAGCGTGTGCTCGCGGAGGGGCAGAGGGGCAGAGGGGGAGGGAGACGCAGAGCCCCGGAGGCCCCCCAGGACCCGGATCGCACCCGAGTGGAGGGCGCAGACTCAACCACTGAGCCGCCAGACGCCCCTCGCACATAGTTTTTAAAAAGGCTCATTTTCTCATTGTCCCGTAATGAACTCGATCTCCCCAGGAAAAGAGCGATACAGACCGTGGGTCCCTTCATACCGTGACTTGGACTCGTGTCCACTGTGAACAACGTGACAATGAACAAACAGACCGCTCGCATCTGGACAGACCCAGGACCCAGATCCGCCAGGAGGCCCACGGACTCGGGCTGCGGGTCTGAGCCTCAGCCCCACCTCGCCCTGGGCGTCCTGACACCTCTTATCCACCTCTCGACTCCTGAGCGCTGTGGGATGACTCAATGACTCTGCGGCCTAGCTCGTCGCCTCGGAGGCGGGACTGGCGGCATGCGTGCCACTGTGCCTGGCGTGAGAAGGTCTGCACTAGCTTAGCACAGGGCCCAGCTTGCTCAGGGGCTCAGTGGGCATCAGAGAAGAGAGAAAGGGCCCGGGGGGGGGATGGGAAGGGGCCCAGTGGGAGGCAGGGGGCCCAGCAGGGAGGCAGTATGCCCTCAGCACCCCTGGGTGCCTGCTTGCTCAAAGGGACTTGATAGGAGGCGGCAGGCGAGCGGGGCGAGGGCGCAGGTCTGGATGCGGGAGCCAGGGAGGTGGGCGCCTCCCGCACCCATGAGCTCCGGGAGGCTTAGGCGAAGGCCTAGGAATGCTGGCACCCTCCCTGGGCCCGCCCGGCACCCCAGCGGCCTTGGGCGGAGGCAGGGGCCCGGCTCCAGCCGCACGATCACCTGCCGCTGGGCAAGGCTCCGGGCCGCAGTGACCCCTGCAGCGCTGCCTCCCGCACTGGCTGCCCCGTGTGGTGTCCCCCCACCCACCCGTGGATCTGGAGGCGGAGGCTGCTCGTGGGCAACACCAGCGGGTCCCCTGGGACCGGTCACCTCCTCTCCCAGGCTGCAGTTCCCTGGTGGGTGAGTCAGATCATTTCCACACTGGGCCTGCACTCTGGGGCGGCTGCGGGGATAAGGGCAGGGACATGCGGAGGCAGCCGAGGGGAGGCCCGTGGCCACCAAGGCGACGGCCGGAGGTGGAGGCTGTACCCAGTGTCCCCCCAACGCGTGACCCCGTGGACACAAGGCCACCGCCCGCTGTGCACAGGGAGGCCCTCCTGAGCAGGCAGGGATGGGAAGGCAGTGCAGGAGCAAGGCTGCGTGTACGCCTATGTGCGAGGCCGTGTGGCTGTGCACGTGTGCAGGTGTGCGTGCAGGTGTGTGTGTGTGGGTGTGCGTGCAGGTGTGCATGTGCAGGTGCATGTGCCCGGCCCCCCAGGCGCGTGTGCCCGGCCCCCCAGTGCTGACACGACAGGCGGGGGCGGATGGCACCTCCTCTGGCGCCCAGGCCTCCCCTGGCACATGCGGGCCTGCCGGCAGAGGCCCCGGGGCCCCTGTAGCCTCCTGGCTCTAGAGCTGGAGACAAGAAGGGAAGGGCAGGGGCTGAGCAAGCCGGTAAAACCACGACAGTGCGGGGCTGCGGAGTGTGACCTGCGACCCGGGCTGCTCGGGGACCCCAGCTCTGCAGCCCCGGGCCGGCCTCTCCCCATTTCCCCAGGGCTCCGCAGGCCTGGGCCAGCGTCGCCGCGTCCCTCCTGTCTCCAGGCTCCTGACGGTCAGTGGTCAGCGAGGCGGTGCGATGTGGGGAGAAGCTCGGGGCTCGGGAGCCCCCTCCGCGCCTCTGACCACCCCCTGCAGGCGCCGGCTCGGGACCCTACAGGAGGACGGCCTGGAGCTGGGGCTCCCGAGCCCGAGAAGGCGCCAGGCGCCCTGTGTGCCAGGTGTGGCCCCTGCCCTCCCCAGAAGGGCACCTGGGGCACCCAGGAGGCAGGGAGAGGGCACCTGTGACTGTGACGAGCGGGGAGGGCCTCCTCCTGTCCCGCTGGTGCCGGTGCCGCGGCTGTGACTCCAGGGTGCGCACTGGGGACCATGCAGCGCCAGGGAGGAGAGGGGTGGCTGGTGGCTGCGCGGGGACAGAAGCACGGCCGCGGAGCCCGGCCACCAGCCTCAACGACCGGAAGCAGTCACATTGCCCAGGAAGCCTTGGTGTCCCTGGGGATGACCGAGTCTAACGCCACCACCTCCTGACATGCTGTGGAGCCCGGCAGGCCACCGGGAGGGGGTTCACCCTTGGGAGGCGCCGGTGTTGCTCCCCTGGCCCCGTGATGCACACTGAGACAGTTTTCCCCCCCTGGGCCACGATGCATTTCTCCTCTTGGCAGGAGAGGGCTGGAGTCCAGGCTAAGACTCTGCCGCAGCCAGAAGCCCTGCGAGGCGGCCCTCACTGTCGGATCCGGCTACTCCCTCGCCCCTGGCCGGGAGCTGGGCCAGGCCCCGGGGGCCACGGGGGAGGCTAACGGTGCACGCAGGGTGGACAGGACTGCACCCGGGTGCGGGCGTCCCCTGGGCACCAGCTCTACACCCGGCCACAGCTCACGGCCGTGCGGCCCACAGCACATGCCCGCACCCGGAGCGACTACACTAGCCGATGCGCAGGTAACCTTCAGGTGATAAGGACACGGCGACATCCCCTCGGCCCGCACCCACACGGGCACCCACGCCAGAGACAGCATCCACGGAGGCCCCCACCGCAAGCGGCTGTCACAGCCCGGACTGCTGCATACGCACCGCCCACCAGCGTCCTTGCAAACCTTTCCCAGGGCAGCCCGGGGGAGCCCAGCGGCTTGGGGCTGCCTCAGCCCGGGCGTGACCCCAGGGTCCCGGGATTGAGTCCTGCGTCGGGCTCCCTGCATGGAGCCTGCTTCTCCCTCTGCCGGTGTCTCTGCCTCTCTCTGTGTCTCTCATGAATAAATAAACTCTTTTAAAATTCTCTCTAAACCTTTTCCAGAGAATAGTGCGATTCTTACAACAGTACAGATACCCACTCTTTTATCCCCCATTTTACATAATGAGGAAACAGAGGCACAGAAAAGCAAGATGAGATGCCTTAGGTCCCGGGGTGGCCTGGCGCTGACACAAGCACATTGCCTTCCCCTCTTCCCTGAGCCCCGTTTATTTGCAGACACATTCCCGGCAGCTCTGCCCCCGCCGCGCCCCGCCCCGCCCCCAGCAGGGAGCGGCAGGTGCGCCCGGGCCCGCTCCGTCCCTGCAGGGCCCCCCCGCGCCCATTTCCCGGACGGCAGCCTAGAAGTCGAGGCCCGGCCTCCAGGGAACTTTAGCGGCAGGGCCGAGCTGCCGGGCCCGGGCGCCCCCTCCACCGGGAAGGCCGCCGTCACGCGCTGGCACACGGGCCGCCTGTGACCCGGGCAGGCCTCGCACACGGAGCCCGCGGCGATGTCCCGGGCGGCCGCCTCACCCCGCGCGCCACGTTTGCGGCTGATCCTTTTCGTTGTCGTGGGTTTGTGACACGAAACGGAAGAATTGACGAAAAATCGGTGATTCGGGAGTAGGACGCGCGGACGACCCTAGCACCCTGCGTAGACGGCGCCGAGCCCCTGGGCGCGGGGGTCCGCGGCAGCTTGTCCCCCACCCCGCGACCCCGAGGGCAGGGCCCGGGCTGGGGTCCCACCCCCCCTCCCCCCGGCCCCCTCCCCCTGCGGCCCCGGGGGCGCGGCCTGGGCTGGGGTCCCGCCCCCCTTCACCTCCCCCTGCGGCCCCGAGGGCAGGGCCCGGCCTGGGGTCCCGCCCCCTCCACGCCCCCTCCCCTCCCCCTGCGGCCCCGGGGGCGCGGCCTGGGCTGTGGTCCTGCCCCCCCCTCCCCTCCCCCTGCGGCCCCGAGGGCAGGGCCCGGCCTGGGGTCCCGCCCCCCTCCCCTCCCCTCCCCCTGCGGCCCCGGGGGCGCGGCCTGGGCTGGGGTCCGCCGTGGCCCGCCGGGGTCCGCGCTGCCCGCCCACAGCCTCGACCGCTCGGCCGCGACCCGGGCTCCGGCCCCCCCAGCCCCCTCCGCGGCCGGGCCCGGGGACTGAGGCGCGCGGCGGCGCAGGCGGCCCGGGACGGGGTGGGACGGGGTGGACGGGGTGGACGGGGTGGGCCTCCCGCCCGGCGGCCGCCTCGGATCTGCAGCTCGGTCTCCAGCGGAGAAGGCCCGGGGCGTCTGCAGGCGGGGCCCGCGCCCACTGCCCGGTGTCCCCCCCGAGCCCGGGGCCGCCTGTTCCGCGGGGCGAGCCCGACCCGGGGCCCGACGGGGTCCGCGCTCGTCGGGGCGGGTGCGCTCCATTGTTCACTGCGGGCCAATCGGGCTTGTCCCCCGCGGCCGCCGGGCCCCGCCCCGCCCCGCCCCGCCCCCGGCTCCAGCCCCGCCCTCCCTCCGCCCGCCGGCCCCGCCCCCTCCGCCCCGCCCCGCCCCGCCCCGCCCCCGCGGTCCCGGGGAGCTCCGTGACGCCGCAGGTCCCGCCCCCAGCTCCGGCCCCTGGCGAGTGCGTGCTGACGTCATGCTGCGTGCGGGCCGGTGCGGAGTCGCCCCTCCAAGTCCGCGGGGCCGCCGAGTTAGTTCCCCGAGAGCCGGCTGGGCGCGCGGCCCGGGTCCTGGCCGGCCGCGCCCTCCGCGCCCGCGCCCCGCTCGGTTGATGTGGTTCTCCGCCCCCCGCGCCTGGGTGCGATGGGGGACCCTCCCAAGAGTGAGTCCGCGTGCGGGGCGCGGCCGTGGGGCTCGGGGGCGCGGGGGCGCGGGCCTGCAGGTGTCGGGCTCGGCCGGCGGGCGGGGCCCCGAGCTGCCCGGTGCCTCCGCGGGCGACGGCGCGCCGTGCTTGCCGGGGGCTGCGGGGCCGCGCCGGGGCGGGCAGACGGACGGGCGGGCGGACGGGCAGACGGGCGGGAGGTCGGACGGGCGGGCGGGCGGGCGGGAGGGAGGTCGGACGGGCGGGCGGGCGGGAGGGAGGTCGGACGGGCAGACGGACGGGCGGGCGGACGGGCAGACGGGCGGGAGGTCGGACGGGCAGACGGACGGACGGGCGGGCGGACGGGCAGACGGACGGGCGGACGGGCGGGGCAGGGGCGGCCCCGGCCGCGGGGAGAGCGGGGCCGCGCGGAGGCAGCCCCGCGAGTCCGAAGGCGCCGCGTTTTCGTCTCCGAGCGTCCGGCCGCGCGCGGCTTCGTGGTAGCGGGACGAGGGTGGGGGCGCGGCGACCGCGGGCGACCCGGCCTGACCCCGCCCGCGCGTGCCCGCAGGGAAGCCCGGGACCGCCCTGTGCGTGGGCTGCGGGAGCCGGATCCACGACCAGTTCCTCCTGCGGGTGTCGCCGGACCTGGAGTGGCACGCCGCCTGCCTCAAGTGCGCCGAGTGCAGCCAGTACCTGGACGAGACCTGCACGTGCTTCGTGAGGGACGGGAAGACCTACTGCAAGCGGGACTACGCCAGGTGAGGCCCGGGCCGCGGGCGGCGGGGCGGGGCGGGTGGGGGGCACCGCGCCCCGGGACCCAGCCCGCGCCCCGAGGCCCGCTGACGCTGACGCCGCCGCCGCCGCCCCGGGCCCGCAGGCTGTTCGGCATCAAGTGCGCCAAGTGCCAGGTGGGCTTCAGCAGCAGCGACCTGGTGATGCGCGCGCGGGACCGCGTGTACCACGTCGAGTGCTTCCGCTGCTCCGTGTGCAGCCGCCAGCTGCTGCCCGGCGACGAGTTCTCGCTGCGGGAGCACGAGCTGCTGTGCCGCGCGGACCACGGCCTCCTGCTGGAGCGCGCGGCGGCCGGCAGCCCGCACAGCCCCGGCCCGCTCCCCGGCGCCCGCGGCCTGCACCTGCCAGGTAAGCCGGGAACGCGGGGGCCGGGGCCGGGGCCGGGTCGGGCGGAGCGTGGCGCGGAGAGGCGCTCCCCGAGATGGACGGGGGCCAGCGGGGGCCAGCGGGGGGCCAGCGGGCTCTGGGCTGCTGCCCGCGGCCCTGGGGGATTCTCGCCCCGCGGCCCCGCCGCCCCGACACGGAGGGGCTCGACCGCCCGCTCAGGCCCCACTGCGTGAACCACTCGTGCTTGTGCGGGAGCTGCTGCGGCGGCTGGAGGCCTCGAGGTCTGGGAACACGGCTCGGGGGCCGCTCAGAGATGAGTGGGAGTGTGGCCATCAGGGGGTCAGGGCTGGTGGCCCCGGCTGGGCAGCTCCAGCAGGCCCGGCGGCGCACCTGGGTGCTGCGTGGTCGCTCCTCTGCTTGCCTCCCCTGGGGAAGGAGACTGAGCCGGGCGGACAGGCTCTTTGTGCGTATTTGTTCTGACCCCGAGGGGCTGTCGGGCGCAGGTCCAGACTGGGCAGGGTTGGGGGCTGTTTGGAGGGCCCGTGCTGGGGGAACCCTGTCTCCGCTCCCTTTTGTTTGGTGCGGTGGGCGGCGCTGGCTGCGTCCCGGGTGGAGAGAACCCGGAGCCGAGCGGGGATGTCGGCCGCAGGGCCAGGAGCCTGGGCCCTTGGAGGAGGCCGTTGGGGCCGGAGCCCCCGGCGCCCCGGCCGGTCCGCAGCCTCCGGAGCAGGAGGCAGGGCTGCCAGGGCCCCAGCAAGCGGGAGACAGGCCCCCAGTCCCCGAGGCCCCCCGCCGCCACCGGCCCTTCGGTGTTGGGCCCGGAGCCCCTGCTCCCTCTCCCTCCCTCACCCCGCGGGCCCTGAGCGGCCCTCCCTGGGGTCGGTCCGTGCAGGAGGCACCGGCGGCTGGGTGCAGGGCTCCCAGAGCCCGGGTGGCCGCAGGGGACCGGACGGGAGACGCTGAGCTTCCTGGGGTCGGGGAGCGGCCGCCGGCGGAACCGGAGCCAGAGGGAGGACAAGGAGCCGGACCTGGGCGCCCAGCCCGCGCCCACCTCCGCCCGGTGCCCGCAGAGCCCGCGGCCGCCCGGCAGCCCTCGCTGCGCCCGCACGTGCACAAGCCGGTGGAGAAGACGACCCGCGTGCGGACGGTGCTCAACGAGAAGCAGCTGCACACCCTGCGGACCTGCTACGCCGCCAACCCGCGGCCGGACGCGCTCATGAAGGAGCAGCTGGTGGAGATGACGGGCCTGAGCCCGCGAGTCATCCGTGTCTGGTTCCAGAACAAGCGGTGCAAGGACAAGAAGAAGTCCATCCTCATGAAGCAGCTGCAGCAGCAGCAGCACAACGACAAGACGGTGAGGGGCTGCTTGGCCAAAGCAGGGGGGGGGGGGCGGCTTGAGGCCTGGGGCACATCCGCGGGCCCTTTTCTGTGGGCTCTGGGGAGACGGGGCACCTGGGCACTCCCAACGGCGTGTTTGCACGCTCGGTGCCAGGCTTGCTTTGGGGGTTCAGGCTGCTTCGTTTTGCCCGGGCTGGGGGCCCCTTGTCCCCGCCGCCGGCCTGAGCCCGAGCTGCGTGGGTCTGCGTCTTCCACTCGCCCGGCCGGGTGCGTCCTCTTGGCTTGGTTTGGTTGGGACACGGTGGCGACAAGTGGGAGGACGGGCCTGGAGGTGCTTCCCCTCTCGGCCCCGACTGGCTTCCAGCAGGGAGGCCGGGCTCGGGCTCTGGGCTCCCGGGGCGGAGGACCCGCTAGGCTGCCATGGCCTGAGCGCCAGGCCCCAAACCTTCCAGCATCGCCCGGGGCAGTGCCGGGGTGCTGGTAGGCGCTGGACCCACCTGAGCATCCCTGGCCTCCCCTGCGCTCGTCCTTCAGAGCCTCCAGGGATTGACGGGGACGCCCCTGGTGGCGGGCAGCCCCATCCGCCACGAGAGCGCCGTGCAGGGCAGCGCCGTGGAGGTGCAGACCTACCAGCCCCCGTGGAAAGCCCTCAGCGAGTTCGCCCTGCAGAGCGACCTGGACCAACCCGCCTTCCAGCAGCTGGTGAGGTCCCGCCCGGGCCCTTTGACCTCACGTCCCGGAGGGGTGGGATTTAGGGGCTCCCCGGGGAGGGGGCGCTGGGGACCGTCTGGCGCTGAGGGCACAGGTGTGGGTACTGCTGGCGCACCTCGGCGGCAGTCCGCTCTAAACCGGGTGTCCTGAGTCAGGACACCAGAGGGGAGGCCCCGGGGCCGACTCAGCAGAGCCGGCCTCCCACCCCTGGGCGAGCTCGGGGACGTGGCCCCCTTCCCCTCAGGGCTTGCTCCGGCCGTGTCTCTGGCTAGTGGCCTGGGGCTGCAGCCCGTGCCGCCTCACCGCCTCCTCCCGGGGCTCCTCCCCAGGTCTCCTTCTCCGAGTCTGGCTCGCTGGGCAACTCCTCAGGCAGCGACGTGACCTCCCTGTCCTCGCAGCTGCCCGACACCCCCAATAGCATGGTGCCGAGTCCCGTGGAGACGTGAGGGGCCCATCGTCGCCAGCCTGCGGACCTCGCATGCTCCCCGCATGAGACGCACCCACGCTCAGGCCATTCCTGTTCCGAAAACTCTCGCCTTCGTAATTATCATTATTGTTATTTAAAGAGAGACGCCGCAGCGGCCAGGAGGCCCGAAGCTGCAGGGTGCAGCCTGCTCTCACCAGGCCGGAGGGCCCTGCTCTAAGAACGGCTATTTTTTCAAAACCAGAATTTGGGATTTACTAGGGTCAGCTGTGCGCCCGCCCTGGCCCTGCCGCCGCCGCTGCCGCCCCGTCCGTCTGGGTGGGGCCACCGTGCCGGCTCCTGCGGCTCCCCGGGCCCGAGGGGACAGAGCCGGGTCCCAAGTGTGGGGCTGCAGGAGCAAAGCGGAAACGGGACTCTCCTTGGAAACGTTCTAAGTTATCAGTCGACGGAGGACAGCGTGTGAGCCTTTGCCGAACAAAACGTAAGTTATTGTTATTTATTGTGAGAACAGCCAGTTCACGGTGGGATGGATATTTTGATCTTAATAAAAAAATTAATAACCCGCTGCGAGGCTGCTCCTTGTGCGGTGGGCATGGGGGGGGCGTGACCGGGTCGGGGCTGGGGCTCGGAGCTCTTGCCGCGGGGTCCCAGGGTGGGTGCGGGGCTGGTGCACCCCGGGGGTGGGCGCGGTGCAGGGTCTGGGGGTGAGTGCGGGGGGCCGGTGCACGTGGGGTGAGCGCGGTGCAGGCTCCTGGGGTGAGCTTGGTGCAGGGTCCAGAGGTGAGCGTGGGGCCGGTGCATGTGGGGTGAGTGCGGTACAGGGTCGGGGTGGCGCGGTGCAGGTCTGGTGGTGGGCCGGGCCGGTGCAGGGTCTTGGGGTGAGTGCGGTGCAGGGTCCTGGGGTGAGTGTGGGGCCGGTGCACCTGGGGTGCACCTGGGGTGAGCGCGGTGCAGGGTCCCGGGGGTGAGCGCGGTGCAGGGTCCCGGGGTGAGCACGGTGCAGGGTTCAGGGTGAGCGCGGTGCAGGTCCGGGTGAGTGCGGTGCAGGGTCCCGGGGTGAGTGTGGTGCAGGGTCCTTGGGGTGAGCACGGTGCAGGGTCCTGGGGTGAGCACGGTGCAGGGTTCAGGGTGAGCGCGTGCAGGGTCCCGGGGTGAGTGTGGTGCAGGTCCTTGGGGGTGAGCGCAGTGCAGGGTCCCTGGGTGAGCACGGTGCAGGGCCCCGGGGTGAGCACGGTGCAGGGTTCAGGGATGAGCGCGGTGCAGGGTCCTGGGGTGAGCGCGGTGCAGGGTCCTGGGGGTGAGTGCAGTGCAGGGTCCTGGGGGTGAGCGCGGGGCTGGTGCACCTGGGGTGAGCGCGGTGCAGGCTCCCGGGGGTGAGCACGGTGCAGGCTCCCAGGGTGGGCACGCAGGGCTGGTGCACCTGGGGCTCCCTGCGGCCGGGGCTGGGCTGGGGCCGCGTGCTGCCCCCCACCTTACCCTCCCCGCTGCCCCCTCCTGTGTCCACTGGGCCCGGTGATCCGGGCAGGTGCGGGGCCCCTCTCTGCAGCCGGAGATGCGTGAGGCCACCGGATTCCCTGGGCTTCGCTGCCGCCCTCCCCCGCACCCCCAGTGCTCCCAGGCCCCCTTGATCCCCGTGGCCCTGGGCACTGGTCCCGGTCCCACCGTCTAGACGGCGGCGGCCCCTTATCTGCGCCCGGCATCACCTGTGGGCGACCCCCCAGCCCGGCCGCGGCCGCCGGAACGTCCACCCGGAACCAGCCTGGCGTGTCCTCGGTTTATTTTCTTTCCAGGCCCGTAGCGCGGGGCGGGGGCGCCGGGTCACCCGGTGTGACATTTCAAACCGCTGCCACTCGCCGTCTCGAAACCCGGCTTTAGTGGTGGCAGGAAATGAGCAGGAGACCCTGCCCGGCGGGGCCCGCGGGCTCAACACACGCTTGACCCCGCGGCCGCCGCCGTCAGACTCGGAGCTGCCGCCGTCGGACCTGGCACCTGGAGGACCGGCTGCCAACCGTTGAGGAGGTGGGAGGTGGGAACCAAGTGAATCTGGTTTTCGCTGCCTGAGAGTCTAGGTGATGCTCACACAAAATTCGTAGAAAACATTTCGTTTTTTCCGGGGTTTAGGGAACGGTGCTACGAACCCGGAGATGAGGGAAGAGCTCTGCAGACTTAATGAGGACCAGCTTGACCCCTCGAGCGTCTGCAAATGGTTCTAATAACCCGGGTTAGGCTCCTTGCGGCGTCGCCCCCTCCACTGGGACCCGTCCCTCCCCCAAGGGAGGCCTGGGTGTTTGCTCCCACCTCCGGGCGGGCGGCCGGCCGGGGGCGAGGCTCCGCTTCCAAGAAACCTTACTTTCGATAACTTTCGATCAACCCCAAACACTGGGCTTTGTCATGTTAACGAAACAACTGGTTCTCGAGAACAGAATTTTGCTCCTGTTTGTCGTTAATGAGCTTTGAGCGTCTGCTTTCTGCCGAGCCGAGCGTGGGATTTGCTCCGCGTGGAGGCATCTGCGTATGTCTGGTTACAGGTGGCTCTTGTTCTGGGGTCAAATGTCTAATTTCTCTTTTGATGTTTGTGTGACGGTGCGGACTTTGAATGTTGGGAAACGACCCGGGTGACGTGGTCCCTGTGCATGAGGGTGCCTGGGCCTGTGTTGCTGCGAAGCCCCCGCGAGCGCCCGTCCTGCTGCCGTGCCCCGGGTGACCGTGTCCCGCGGGTTCCGCGGCGGAGGCCTTGGCTTCCAAGCCCTGGTGCGATGGTCGCTGTCCCCGAAGCGTCAGGCCCGCCATTGGGTGGTTGTGATAATGAGCACTGGGTCGCGGTTCCCGGGTCATCTCTAAACACGGTGGGTCACACGGTTGGGATTTCCTCGGGAATCAAATTAGGTGCAACTGGGAGTGTTGTGTGTCGTGCTTTACGGGACTTTCCAGGTGAGACCCCGGGTGTACAGTCGCTCAACCAGAAGGGGCCGTGGGCGGGAGATGGGGCCATTTAACCCGATCTGCTTTGGGGTGGTGGTTTTCCCCGAAGACTCATCTGGTCGTTGGGAGAGCCCCGCGTGGTCGGGGCGGGAGGGGTTCCCGGGTGGAGGCTTTGAGGCCGTCGGGCTCAGGGTTCGGGCCGTGGGGCCGCGCTCCGCGGAGCCCTGGGGCTTGTCCCCGACGGACTTGGCGACCCGGGGGCGGGCGGAGTCGGCCTTGGGCTGGGCTGCGGGGCCCCGGGGCGGGCGGGGGCGGGGTCCCGGTCCCGGGGGCAGGGCGGGGGCTGCGTCCGTTCGAGGCTGTGCGGAGGCCTGGAGGCTCCTGAGTGTGGGCGTGGGTGACCCGAGGTGGCCGGTCCTCCCCGCCCTGGGCCGCGGCGGGGTGCTGGGCGGGAGCGGGGGGGGGGGGGCGGGGAGCGGGTGCGGGGGGGCGGGGACCGGGGCTCCGGGGCGGGGACCGGGCGGGAGCGAGAGCGAGGCCCCGCGGCCGCGGGGGGGGGGGGGAGGGTTCGGCAGGTCGGGGACGGGGCGCTGCGCTCTCCGGGCATCCACAGCAGGCGCCCGCCCCCCTCCCCGCGCCCCCGCCCCCGGCCCTAAGGATGCTCTGCGGGCGGCGGGGCGCTGCTGTTTTGGGGGCGGGCGGGAGCCCCGAGCCCCCCTGTCCCCGCCCCCCCCCCGCCCTGTCCCCCCGCCCCGGGCCGCGGAAGAGCCCGGCGGCCGTCCTGGAGGAGGCGCCCCGCCGCCGGAGCGCAGCCCCGCGTCCGCCCCGCGAGGCCGGTTCCCCCTGCCCCGTCTCTGCCCCGCGGCCCGGCGTGGGGGGCGAGCCCGAGCACCTGCGGGGACCCCGGGGAGGCAGGTGAGCCCCGACCCGACCCCCGCCCGCCGCGACCCCGCCCGCCCCCGGCCCCCCTCGTGCCGCCTCCGTAAGAAGAGCCACCGACGCAAAGACAATAAGTTACTTTATTACAAGAACGAAACAGACTCGCCAATTTAGTCTAACTTCACCCACATCACTAGCGCCGAGCGCGCCCTGGGGACAGCGGCTCCGGAGCCCAAGCGCCAGGAGGGAGCCGGGCTCAGGCCTTGGCCCCAACAGTCAGAACCTCGGCGCGGGCGCCGGACGGGGCCAACCAGGCCATTCATTTTTTGTCTTTTTTTAAAAAGAACTGTCGTGCTTCTTCCCAGGCCTCCTGGGGAAATCTGTTGGCCAGCTCAAGATAGTCTTGGGAACCGAGGGATTTGCCTGCGAGAGAGAGAGAGAGAGAGAGAGAGAGAGAGAGAGAGAGAGAGAGAGAGAGAGAAGTTAGATTCTTTGAAGTTTAAGCAATTTAAATTATTTCGATATCGGACTACAAAACGGGGACATGCACTTCGAATAAACCATAATGCACATTTATATAAAGGGGACCCCCATCCACCTACATTCACCCATAGCATTTTATATATATATATATTTTAATATTTTATTTATTTATTCATAGAGACACAGAGAGAGAGGCAGAGACACAGGCAGAGGGAGAAGCAGGCCCCACGCAGGGAGTCCGACATGGGACTCAATCCCAGGTCTCTGGGATCACGCCCTGGACTGAAGGCAGCGCTAAACCGCTGAGCCATCTGGGCTGCCCTATATATATATTTTTAATCACAATTTATTTTGTGCTTCTAACATATTCAGACATTAATCCCTCTGTAAAACATGACCAGAAAGTGTTTTTGGACTCCAGAGTAAGAAAAGGGGAAAATAAGCACATTGAACAAAGTAAAATGGCATTCATTCATTCAATCCGTAAGACAGCCTTGAAAGGGTAAATATGGAAGCTTGATGTCTGTCCTCTAAATCGGTCTAATTTGAAATACTTTAAGTATAACTTTTAAAATGCTGAAATCTGGCATTCAGTCATCCAACGAAGCAGAGGGAGCGAGTTTCTTATTACTGATGCAGGCAAAGGAAACCGCCCCGTGGCCGGCAGGGACGGAGCAGCGGGTGCCCCAACAGCAGGTCCTCCGTCATGGAGAGTGCGTGCGGCGCTACCCGCTACCGGAACTGCGCTGCGCGGCTCACCTGGGCAGTGAACTCAAAAGGCCTTGAAACGTTTTCCGGGGACTCAATCTAAGCAAAAGGGAAACAGATGTCCAAAGCGCAAACTGGCACTTCGTGGGGCGTAGTCATTTCTTTTAAACCAAGTGAGCACATCAGGGGCAGTCACCCAGGAACATGATGATGACCTTTTCTGACAAATGCAGAGAACAGGTCCCCATTTGCCGTTTTGTGCCTTAAGCCCATTGTAACTGGGGAAAGCATGGAAGTCAGAGAAAATGGCCCTTGGAAAAGAAAGTAAGTTGAAACTCCCACAGGCCTCAGCCCACCAAGCAGACCAGGCAGCTCTTGGGACTCCGCCTGCCAGATTCGAAGCAAATGGTGACTCATCCTTACAGTCAGGAGAAAGGAAGAAAAAAGAATGGCTATGCTTCTTACTGGCAAAAAAAAAAAAAAAAAAAAAAAAAAGCCTGCTGTACATTTAAAAATAAATACATTAGAAGACTTTTCAAGGTATTTTCATATATTCAAAATTTAAGACATTGTTTTCTAAGACATAGTAACCATGTATACAGATTTCTCCCACAGAGCCTCCAATAGCCGCTGCTGCTGTTTTGTTTTGTTGTTTTTTTTTCTTTTTTAAAAAAGGGCTGTGAGTGCGTCAGGACAGACCTGAACTTGACACTAATTCTGGCTTAGATACAAATGGTACCGACTCTGATGTTGACTGGAATTTCTGAAGACAGGCATAGCTGTCCGTTTACTTCTCCGAATGCCTGAACCAATAAAACATGACATTTTTTTCACGATATTGTTACAGCTTTGTATTCTTTCCTGTGTACTTTTCGACACCTGCCCACTATAGAGAATTAGCGTGTGTGTGTGTGTGTGTGTGTGTGTCCATCTGTCCGTCCAGGACGACTCCCCACCCGCCAAGCAAGGGCCACTTGGTGGGCACCCTAGACAGTCCTGCTGGGAGTGGGCCTCTGGCCACTTGATGGACGACTTGGGGAAAATCTGTATTAGGGTCTCATTAATAAGAGACGCTGTCCTGACAAAGAGCAACTTGTGCTTCTCAATTACAGCATGTGTAGAATATTGAAAAGCGTAAAAATGCACTTTAAAATTCTACATCTCCAGCTCTGATCATAGCAAACGCCTCAGTGGGAACACTGTGGGGGCGGGGGGGGGGGGAGCTTGTAAATCTTTTGGCCTCTGGGCTCTTGTTAGTCTGATGGCTTTTTCTCCAAGTAAAACAGTTTTACACTTTTAATTTTTAATTAAAAATATCTGAGCACTTGAATTTAGGGGGAAAATATGGGCGACTATTATTAATAATTTTATTCTAAACATAGGGAAGCAAACTGATGTGATTCTAGCATTTCTGTGAGTAACGAACGTCGGCCAATGTTAACGATCTGCTTGTCTCCCGTATTATGAAGTAATTATTCACCATTTATTATATCTTGCATGAGGTGCATATGAATTACATAAAGATGTTTTGTGCTTTTACTTCCACAGACTTCTATGTATATTCGGGTGCATTTATGCTTGGTGCCAAAATCTGTTTTTTTACTCTTTGAAATACACTCGGTGTGTGGATCTCACGTATCTTAGGTGGGGCGGTAAATGGGTTTCTCTGCGGTCCCAGAGGGCAGAGGAAGAAACACGTCTGTCCAGCTGCACACACACATTTCATTTCATGAGAGACGTACCTTTGGGCTGACGGGCCTGGCTGTCTGCTTGACCTGGAGTCTGTACGAAATCCTGTGGGCGACAAGAAAAGGGTCTTTATACCATGCTAGGAACTGAGAACTTCGCTGGGGGTGGCGTTAAATGTGCTTCTGAATCCTGAGACAACTATTCTTGCGTGAATCCTCTGCAGCCCAAATACCAGAATGTAAGAAGTAGACGTTCAGCTTCTCTCAATTTAAATCAAATACCGACAACGCACATGTTGCTCCGATCAGCAGGGGCCACGGTGCCGTCTCCTGCAGGGACTACGACTTTATCTCCGCTAAGAGACTGAAGGCTTTCGCCCGGATTTATTATTCTAAAATGCTGACAGATTGTTCACGCTCTTAAAAAAAGTGTTAACTCCTAAAGCCCTGACGTGTTCTGCAGCTACACCTTAAAGTCCAGTGATTTTGCTTTTAGATGGGAAGGGGAAAACGTCGTACATAATATATAACTTTTCAGAAACTTCGGACAAACCACCGGCTCCTGTTTTTACCATCATTTTCTAGTGACTGTCAATGATCTAACACATGGGGACCTCAGAACCCTTCTATAAACTAAAATCTTACATCCATTCCTCTGATGATAATTACTTCTAGAACAGAAAACTTGATTCAATTTCTCTAAGATGCTAAGAAATTTCTGTGACCTTTACGAAATGGATGCATCCACGTGTAAGCTGAACGTGTTGTACTGACATGAAGTCACATTTAAATGTGCGCTAAATACACAGAGAAGAGCCAGAAATACTTTCAGGTGAACCGGAGACGAAAACCAGTCATTCGTATGTTCTTTACTTTAGATTCTGATATCGTTTGTATTTTTGTGGACTGTTTTCCAAGCAGTTGGAAATGCGGGGGACTAAGCTGGCACAGAGGCCGGATTGTCGTGGTCAACTGTCACGGCCCTGGCTGAGGCCCCCGTGCGCACAGCACGCCCGGCCCGGCCACGTCCTCCCGCCTGCCTTTGCTCCCCGGCACTGAGCCTCCGACCCGCTATCTGTCTGACTCCCCCCACTTTAAGGAAAGATGTATGGAGGCAGGGCCTTCTGTCTGCTTCTTCACGGCTGTGCCTGGTGCTCGGGAAGTGCCCGTACGCCAGGTGCACTAGAAAATTACCTGTTGAATAAGAGAATGAATTTTAAGGTCACAGTCTTAAAAGTCCTCTATACTGTATTTTGTTTATTTTTTAATCCCAAGGCTTTGAGAATATATGAAAATTCTTAAATGGTGACATGACAGTCACGTAAGACTTTTTTAAGATTTTAATTTAAGCATAAGGTGTTTTTTGGAAAATCCACACCCTTCCGATGGGTCTAAAGATGTTCGAAAAAATTTCCGGAAAATAGAACCCAGACTCAAAGAGAATAACTAAGGTGAAAGTAAACATTTCTAAACACAACTGACCTGGCCGTGTTTCTTAACCGGCCGTCTCATGGAGGGTGGCCTAAGACTCGGAAGCCAGTAACCGCCGTCCCGCGGTGGGGGAAGCTGGGGTCTGCAGCTGCCCCAACCGGCCAGGCAGGATCACGTCCCTTCGGCAATGACGTACGTGTATCAGCCCCAACAGGAGCGGCTCTAACAGAGCTCTGCTTTCTGTTCCATCGTCATGGACAGAAAACATTGCCAATCACACGTACGTCATGGAACAAAAGCACACTGGTTTTTAGGGCAAAACATTTCAAAGAAAACGGAAGATTTTCAGCAAATAATGAACCACAGGGACAGAAAAAAATAACAGGATTAGCTATTAGCAAACAGTAAAGAACAGCTAACCTGATTTTCTATTATCACTTGACTGAATTACCGTAGATGTGGAAACACTGCTCTCCTTTGCTGCGGCTCGGACCCTGGTCCCGGCCCCCCTGACCCTGGTCCCGGCCCCACTGACCCTGGTCCCGGCCCCCCTGACCCTGGTCCCGGCCCCCCTGACCCTGGTCCCGGCCCTCCTGACCCTGGTCCCGGCCCCCCTGACCCTGGTCCCGGCCCTACAGAACCTAACTGGATCAGAAGCACAGAAGGCCGTTCTTACAAGTGTGAGATCTTTTTAAAAAGTAATACCAGGATTTTATCACGGCCGCACACGTGTGTATGAATCACACTTCTCTAAAAGCTTACAAATCAACTGAAGCTTTAACTGCTCTTCCTCGGCAGCCCTCTGTCCTCTATTCTCTTCGCCAGACCAACAGCTACGTGGACATGAGCGCTGCCACCTTGACAAAGTCCAGCCTCCTTTCTTAAAAACGTTTCCTTGGTGTGGATCTGCCACTTCAGTAACTGGAAAAATGTCCCTTCCTTGGAATCCTCCAAGGACTCGTTGCACGGCGCTCCACCCCCTGATGCTTTAGGAATTAACTTCTAAGCACAGAAACCCGTGGGCAACCTCCAGGAGCACGCGGCGGGCGCGGGTCCACAGCCGGTGGGTGTGCAGCGCGCGTGGGGCCGGAGCCAGCCGCGGGAGGTACCTGAACGAACGTGGCCAGCAGCACGCAGCTCATCTCCTGCTCCAGGATGGTCCTGTTGTGGCGGTTGTTGAAGCAGGCAGCCAGCAGTGAGGGGAACAGCACCTTGGTCAGCCGGGGCTCGCTGAAGTACTGGAAGGGCAGCTGGCAGAGCTTCTGCAACACCGTCGGGTGGCGGCCGGACTGCACGACCACCTGAGGCAGAGGGCCTGGGTCAGCGGCCGCCCCGCACCCCCGCCACCCCGCCGCCCGGCCGTGACCCCGAGGGTCGCAGCAGGAGGAAGGACACTGCTCCCTGGCGTCTGAGAGCAACGCAAAGGGCAGGATCTTGCCTCCTGATTTACGGGAAGGGTCCCCGAAGGTCTGCGGCCATTCATCCCCCACGATGAGGCGCAGGGCTGCCACGGAGAGGGGACGCCGGGACGGTCACAGCCCCTTTAACAAGCAGCCCCATCCCCTGAAGCCGTGGAGCTGCTCGGCAGAGAGATGCCCTCTGCTAGGGCTCTGCTCTGCGTCCGGGCCCGCAGCCCCCGACCCGGCTGGGGCAGGGCTGGGGTAGAGGCCGGGGTCTGAGCCTACAGTCCCCCTGACCCTGCTGGGGCAGAGCTGGGGTAGGGGCCGGGGTCCACAGCCCCCCCCCAACCCGGCTGGGGCAGGCCTGGGGTAGAGGCCGGGTAGGCGGCGCATCCAGTACGCAGATGAGGCCTTGAGGAGAAAAGGGGACCGCGAGGGGAGGGGAGCTTCCACAAAGCACAGGCTCCCGGGCCCCTTCCTGAGCCGTGCTCCTTATCTCCGTTTCCATCAGTGCCACCGAGTCTAAAAGGAGAATTGTTTAGATAAACGAGACGGGGCTCGGAGCAGGCTGGGTTCACCACTGTGCACACTGGAGGGACGGAGCGATGCAATCAATAGGCTTGCGGGGAGTCCTCCTCGTCTCCCCGCGGCCCACACCACAGACTAGGGGAGGTCAAGTGAGATCTCTTCCAAGTAAACCCTGATCGGGCGGTGCCGGTGCTCACACGGAAGAGCCCGGTGACCCAGGGCCCACGTCTTGGCATAGAGGGAGGGCACAGAGAGTCAGGACACCGTGAAATCCGAGGTCAGGGCTGCAAGTTGCACTTGGAAAAACATGATTTTGCAGGTACGTACCCAGACAGGCCTACGTTCAAATTAAAACCAGAAGGGACAGAATGAAACAGCAGAGGCAGAGAAACATAAATTACAGGGATTTACAAGTTTTCAAAGTACTTTTAACAATACTTTAAGAACACACTCTCGGATGATAATGCAGTTTGGTTTAAGAACAAAATCAACAAAGTAATAGTTCACATATTTTAGCTCAATAGCTAAAATGACATCAAAAATCTTCAGAGAATGTTGACAGGGACTTGTTAATACCTTCAAATCCAGCAGGAATTTTAAAGACGCAGAGTGTGACCATTCAGCACATGGCTACGTGCTGCCGTTTCCGACACCGGCTGAGAAAAATCTGTCCTGTCATCTATTTGATTGATAAAGCATTTACTTCAATATTTAATTATTAGCTACAAATGCTGTAGCAGAGCCAAATGACCAGCCCTCCAGAGTTTATAATGGTACCATTACTAGGAGTCCCTTTACCCCCTTGTCCAAAAATGAAGCAGAAGTTTTTTCTTTGGAACTTCATTGTTAAAATGCTATTACTGGAAGATTCACTAATTGAACGGATATTCAACTGCCCAGTGTGGCTGGCACAGGTGCAGTGCTAACGCCGCCTCCCGGCTCCTGGTTAACGAGGACTGCTCCGCACCCCGACCCCACTGGGGGACAAGAGCCCCTCCGGAGCACACCTGCCCAGCAGCTGCCCCATCAGGACGCGACTCCAGGGAGGTCAGCAAACGTGCAGTGAGGTTAGGGGTTAGAGCCCGCCACTGCCGGACACCGACGCACGCGGGCTGTGGGGTGTCGCGCACCGAGGGGCCCACCCGGGACACAACGTAGTCGGGCTCCAGGGAAGGGTCTTGGGGTGGTTGGAGCCGCCCCCCCGCCCCCCACTAGGCTGAGCCAGGGCGGGACATCGTGGCCCGTCCTTTGAACCGCATCTCGGGCACTGCAGGGAGATAGCACCAGGAGGGCCGGGAGCAGGCCAAGCTGCGGCGCTGGGACCGGACGGGCGAGACCCCTCCCGGTAACGCGGGGGTCTGTGGTCCACGGGGGCCTCCAGCATTCAAGGGGCACAGCTGTGTGGCCGGCTGCACGGGGCCGAGGGGCAGGGAAGCAAGGCTGGGGCGCAGAGGGGTGACCCTGGGTGCGCTTGGGCAGGTCCGGGCAGGTCGGGGGCTTCAGGCAGGGCTTGGGTCCACTCATCCAGGCGCTTCCAGGCCCCAGGGCGGTCAAGTGTCACCATGACCTGCTCCAGCCTTCCGGAGTCAGTGGACAGTCACCACAGAATACCAATGTCTTGGTGAATGAACAAAAAAAAAAAAAAGCAGATTTACAATGACGTTTCCTCTGTCGGTCTTCTCGATGGAGCCGCAACTAAGTCAGCAACTTGGTCCGTCCCGTTCTCTCGACAAGCGCTGGCTGCTAAGTCCCAACGTGAGCAGCACCCCGAGCCTGCCCTGCGTTCCAGAGGGCCTACCCCAGGGTTCCTCCCCACACCAGCGCTCCTGGGGGGGGGGGGCGCGTCTGCTGCAGACTTCCTCGGGGTCACCGTCCAGGCAGATGGCAAGCGGGGGCCGCAGGTTTCCACAGGGGTGAGCAAAGCCCTCCCCAAGACGCTGTCCACGCCCAGTGCAGAGCAGGCCTCCAGGGAAACAAGGGAATTCCCCGCAACGTTCAGATCAAAACAAACTGAAGCTGAACTTTCCACCTGCTCTGAGGTGCGATCTTAGAGCAGGTTCTAACTAAAGAGCCAGGAGAGCCTGGCTCCCGCCTTTACTCCAGCCACCAACTCGTTGCACGGCCCTGGGAAAATGGTTCAGTGTCTCTGGGTCTCAAGGTGGAAAGAATCTTTTAGGAGGTGCACACACGCCCCTCCTACGTGAGTAGCTCAGTCCTCACAGAGTGAACCTACCTGCGTCACCAGAACCAAATGAAGAAAGAGAACACGGCCGAGGGTGTCGGATCTTTAAATATGCTCCTTCTCACTCAAAATGAGTCCCACATTTTGAATTTAGGACAAATTGTACAGAACCTATCTGTGCTCCCCCTTGTGACCGATCAATAGTTCCGGGAAGGGGGTCATGGGTGGAGGCCGGGATGGCGGGATGCCCGCGTAGGGCCTCCAGCGAGTGGCGGCGGTGGCAGCAAACTTTTGTAGAGGAACCTGGAGAAGACACGGCCGTGGCGGTTCGTCCACCTGCGACCTCTGCCCGCCCACCAGCGCCGAGCCTTCTGCTTCCCACGAGTACAAAGCATCGGGGAGTGGAGCTCGGCGTGGATGGGAGCCGGCGGCTCTAGTGTCCTTGACTCGTCTGGAGCGTGTCGGGTGCCGCTGGCTCTGGGACACGGAGAGTCCGGGCTGGGGCTCTCGGGAGATGCGTGTGCACACGAGTGGCAATATGAGGATGCTGGGTCGTCAGACAGGAAAGACAAAGTACTGGGGGCCCTGGGAGGGAAAGAGGACCCCCTAGGGAGAGGGGGGCCACTCCAAGAAGGGGGGCGGGAGGGACTGCGGGTGGGGAGAGGCTCCCAGACTCAGGCACCCACCCGGGTGAGTCCCTCAGGCTGCCGAACAAGATACCAGAGACCAGGGGCCGAATCAACGGAAATTTATTTCCTCAGGGTTCCAGAGTCGAAGTCCGGGAGCCGTGTGCAGCAGCGCTGGTGGGCGCCTCCCTGGTGTGTGCTCCGACGCCCCTGCAGTCCTCCCCCGGCGCGTGCACCCCGCGCGCTCCCCTCCTTGCCGTACGGGGCCACCGATGCTCTCCTGTGAACACCGCAGCCTTGTGTCCTCATTTAACCAGAAGTAGCTCTTAAGAGCCCTCTTGCCCAGTACAGTCACCTTGGGGGTTAAGGTACAAAATATGAATTTTGGGGGACACAGCTCAGCCCGCACCGCGGCCCGGATTCCTCACTGCTCGTGGCCAGAATGATGCTTCAGTAGAACGGCCGCCCACACTAACCGGGTGTATCTGAGAGCTGATCCGGTCAACCGGCCCTCCGCTGCCGTACACCGGGAGTCCACAGGCTCCAGGCTGCCTGCCGTTGGGCGGCCCTGGGCTTCAAGGCGGCTCCGGTCAGTTAGCCGAGTTGAACCTCAGGGTCCCTTCCAGAAAATACAGATACTCTGCACAGCAAAGGAAACAACGGAACTAAAACACACCCTACCGAATGGGAGAAGATATTTTGCAAATGACACACGGGGTTAGTTAGTATCCGCAAGGTATAAGGACCTGACGGGGCGCCCGGATGGCGCGGTTAGGCCTCTGACCCTCGACCTCTCAGGTCACGACAGCAGGTGTTGAGACTGAGTTCCACTTCGGGCTCCTCACTGGGCGCGGAGCCTGTTTAAGATTCCCTCTGCCTCGGCCTCTGCCCCTCCCCTTCACCCCTGCGTGCACGTGTGCACGCGCGCGCTCTCTCTGTCTTAAAAAAAAAAAAAAGACCCAAACCAAAAACCAAACTTATATAATTCAACATATAAAAATCAAATAATCCAATTAAAAATAGGCGGAAGAAATGAACAGACATTTCTCCAAAGAAGACGTATGATGGCCAACAGACGACACAGGAACAGATGCTCAGCACCAGTCAGGGAAACACAACTTGAAGCCACAAAGAGATCACCTCACACCTGTCAGAATGACTAAGAAACATGAGAAATAACAAGTGTGGGCAGGGCTGTGGGGAAGGGGGAGCCCTCCTACCCTGCTGATGGGAATGCCAGCTGAGCAGCCACTCTGGAAAACACCATGAGGTTCCTCAAATTACCATCGGTCCAGTGATTCCACCAGTGGGCATTCACCCAAAGAGGGCAAAACACTCATTCAAGAAGATAAATGCAACCGCACGTTTACTGCAGCGTCATTCACCATGGCCGACTGAGGGAGGCAGCCCCCGCGTCCACGGATGGGCGGGCAGAGGAGGAGACCCCCCAGGAGCAGCAGCCACAGAGGGAATGAAGCCTTGCTTTTGGCAGCGACATGGATGGATCCAGAGGATGTGACGCTAAGGGAAAGGAGCCTGTCACAGGGGCACCGGTGGCCAGTCGG